AGTGAAGAAGATTTACAGGATGGCAAGGCGGCCGAGGCTATCATTGTTTTCACGAATGTCCAGAAATTTTTTATGGCATTCATCTGTCATGCTCCCATGTTAAGCCTGGCCGAACCCACAATGGGTATAATCATAAGTTCATCTTAGTTTTTACAGGGTGGGAAGAATAAACATTAAAAAGAATGAAACCTTTCAATATTTAAATACAATTCAATATTATAATGTTATATTTGAAGTTGTAAGCTTATTATAATATAATTATTATTACTATTTTCAGGTAATCAGTGCACTTTACTCACTGCTAAATTCTCTTATTGAATTAGAAAGATCGACAAATATGAAGAAATGCAGACACGTGTTGAATAAAAGTGGAAATTTCTCTATGATTAACAGAGAAACATACTCTAAATAAATATTCTGATATTTCTAAGTAATATCAATAATGATGTTGTCTGTCGCGTTTTTCTTAATTCTATAGAAAAGTAAACAGAAAGGAATGAAAACTACTTCAACGCTAACGTTGTTACTCGGTTTGTTGCTGTTCTAGGCAATTGATATTCGGAGTTAAACATCTGTTTCTATTGGTTTACGAATTAAGAAGAAGGCGACGGAATACATTTATAATTTGATTCTTAATAAAACAATTAATAATGTTTTTCTGTTTTATGTAAGAATTGCGAATGTATCACTGATAATCCTGTATTGTATCAATAATTGGACAATTTTTATTTAAAAATATTTATTGATTGAGAAATAGCTGCAATTACACTCTGATCACCGTCAGTCTGAAGTCCATTCAGTAGAATATTTCATAGAACTTTAAATTGTGAAACGAAATTGAAGAATATATCACAAGTGTGTTTTTCCCTGTATGATTAGATTTATGTTTTAGAAACGTTACATTTTGATGTAAATCATAAAATAGCAATTGAAATTACATTATATCGGTATCAAAATAGAATTTCTCGGTTATTAAAATAAAAACTATTTTAAGATATAAGAATGTCGAAATTGCAAGAACACGACGTATGTGTACGAAAACCGAAAATGCTTGGCTTGAAATGTAAACATAGGGTGAATTTAGATAGCAAGCAGCTAAGCAAGCTAATGGTATACAGTACTTTGTTTCATATCAAACAGATGCTGTCATAAGGTTTGCTTGTTTAGCTACTCGCCGTGTATAGGCCTACGTCTGAATCTTGTCTTTCGATCATACTGCCTTGATGATCGATACGTAAAAGATGGCGATAGTTTCAGAAATGTATAACCGTTAAATCACAGAATAAAGTTTTTCCATTGTATTTTGAAGTCACCGATAAGGGTTTTGTATTTTTTAACTCTCTGTCCTGAGGATAATAAGAGAGATTGTATATTATACCTATCGTAGGTTTGACTAGGCCGACTGTGGAGAGGTCGGTTGTGAAAGACGGATTTCTTCATATTGGGCCGAAGCTATCCGAGCCACGCTTTCCATCAGTGGCGGGCTGTCCAGTGACGCTGTGAAACTGCCGCTTTCCTTGTATTTTCTAAAACATAAATACATATTGTGCGATTATTTACACATTTTAACATACTCTGAGTTACTTAAAATTAATAATTTTTTTTTAATAATCGCATTATGTATTTTATTACAAATTTCTATGCATATTGAAAGACGACGATAAGATTACTATTGTATATTCGAATATAAATTTGTATGGGCATATTTCCAATGAAAGCGCTGTACTAACCTCTGGCGGTTTAGCTGCTGGATGCTTAGACATAAAATATATTATAATTAACGACGATGTGAAAAAATACACTAAGAGAATTACATGATTCGATATCTATATACATGTATATAATTTTTACGGTACAAACTAGTAGTGCATCTGTTGAGTTAGTTTTTCAACTATAAACCGAATTGATACATTCGAAAGGAACACACAGTCAGAGGAAGGGCTCTTGCAAGACTTTCATGGTTTACAAACAGGAGAATTAAAAGAACCAAGAATATAAGTACGATTATTTTCAATTATACTAACATGTAAAATTTAAATAATAAATGTTAAAAGAAATAATTTTGTTCAATTACAAGAAACATTTCTATTTAATAAAAAATAGTTAACTTTAAAGAATAAGTTATTAATATTACAGGGGAGCACGGAAAGCTCAGTGTTAAAATAGTGTGTTGAGCCATATATTATGATATTTTACTGAATATAACATTTTAAAAATTATTATTATTATTATTATTAGAAAGGGCAAAAGCTATATTTTAAGATCGGGTAAATTTTTAAAAATATTTTAGATTCTCATAATAAATAAAATTCTCATCAAGTCTTATTTCATTAGAGATGTGGCTCATATCCTTTCTATCTCCTTTATTGATTTATAACATTTATTGATTGACTTTTTGTCGCAAGAGCCAGATTGGGATTTAAATACATTTGCGGCGGCCACGTGAATACGTGAATTAAAAAATCTCATTATGACTAAGGCAGAATTGAATTTTACCTTTTTACAGTTAATTACAGATACACCAATACTAAACAAATATGGGTAAATTATACATAATTAGAAAATCATTTAATGCAATTTTTAATGGGAATGATGGAACTGTGTTTTTTGCTGAAGAATTTCTTTAAAGTCGGGATTAAAATCTGAAACACCAATTATAAGCAATGATTGCAAATGATCATCCGATAAATTTGCCCTGTACTTTGATTTTAGATACTTCATCCTGGAAAAAGTTGGTTCGTACATACAGGTAGTCCCAAACATAGAAATAAATTTACAAGGAAATTGGAAACTCTTTTAAATTCAAGAAATTTGTAAAAATCGACCAAGTTTCTTTTCTTGTATTTATCCTTGATTTGTGATCGTTAGTTTAAAGATCGATAATTTCTATTGTAAACTGACGTTGCAGTCAAATGGATTTTGAAAAAGCCGAATTTCCTTTGAATTAATGTCAAATAAGAAAATCGCTTTTGAAATTTTTTTTAAATCCGCGATTACTTTTACTACAAATCTGGTTGGAAATTGTTCATCAGTTTCTGTATTCAATTCTTCACAGCACAGGAAATGGGTAAAATTACATTCATTCATCTGACTTTCGAGCAATATCAGCTTTGCCCTAAATGCTTTGATTTGCGCGAATAAATCACAAATTAAGTTGTTTTTACCTTGTTAGCTTTAAGTTCAAGTTATTCACGTATGTCGCAACATCTGTAAAAAAAGTCCAACTTCCAGAGCCACTCGGCATCCGATAAAAATGGTTCAGAGTGATTTTTCTCCGCAGGAAATAAATTAATTTTATTTAACTTAAAACACTGCAATAGCAAATTTCCACACTAATCCATCGAACCGTAGTATAATACGACACGTCAACGGACTCGGATTCAATTTGTTCGAGAAAAGATCGAAATTGGCGATGATTGAGTGCATGTGATCGAATAAAATTTACGACAGAAACAACTGGTTTCAAAATGCAGCTCATATCGACATGTTTTACACATAGTGCTTGTTGATGGATAATACAGTGCAAAAAAAATGGTACAGAAAAATTGAAAACATTTTTTTGTACTTCTTTGAAGATATCTTCTCTAGTTGTAGTGTTGTGCACGCTGTTAACGGAGGCTAATACTTGTGTGTCATTAAGTTCGTTGTCAACTCCACGGTGTGACTAACATCAGTTCATTCATCCATCGCGAGAGAATACCGAATGAAACGCTTTGCTTAACCATTAATCTAGTGTAGAATATTGGTTTCCAATTTCGTCGATTTGACGAGCACCATATTACGGGAAAAACTGATCATTTTGAAAAGTGTCATCTTTTCTGGCCACAACTCACCAACATAGCTTCAGGTCAACAAGGCCATCATACACGTTTTAATGATGTTTCCGTCCATAAAGGATTTTTCCTACTTTCGCCAACAATCAGCAACTTTCATGCTAAGGAACAAAAACATATACAGGGTGATTCAAATTGACTTATCCTGGTATATATGTTTTTGATTAATACAGTTTATAGAACTATTATGCAAATAAACAAATGTTTCCTTTTCATTAAATTCACTTTACTTTCAATAATCTGGCAAACGTCTTATTGAATCCGATAGTGTTTCGATTCCGAATATGCCGAATTACCGAGATCGTACGGAATTGCATTTAGGAACAAATACTGATTCGAAAGAAGGACGTCATTTTATTTATTTAAAAGAGTTTTATCATCATTTACAAACTTATAAAATTGAAATGATGGAATTTTCTGAGTAATTTTCTTCATTTTATGATTACTAAAGGAAATATAATTAAACCATTACCCAGATGTAGAATAAAACTTTATAGCTTTGTAAAATAATTTCAGATGTTAATAAGAATGCAGATAATAATGCATAACAAAACAGTCGAAAATTTATCTGGAAATATTTTCTCTTACATTTTTGTATATACGAATAATAATCGTTATTAATTTACTTATGATTTAGACAATCGAAATTGTTATTAAAANTTACATAAACTGAGAATTTATATAATTTAAAAAATATATATATTTACACAATAATGTAAGCAGTTAGAATCCCTCTTTACGACTTATACTTTTACGACTGATAATAGATTTTTGTAATGACTGTACGAAATGATAATTATTACTTGACATTTCTTCGTGATATATATTATTATTATAATGGATTTCCAGCAACGTGATCTTAATTTATAACATTCAGCTCATGAGTAATAAAAGAGCCCACTTTTGTGGCTCTTTAACAGGAACCAACTAAACCATAGAAATGTCATCTACTGTTATGTAATGAATTAATAGTTTTATATTTTATCATGATGTATTGAACGATGTGAATTAAAAATTACGTGTATGAGAAGCAAAGTTTGAATCGTAGATGCAAATTCAAACTCTCATCCGAATATGGCGGAACATTCTGTTCGTATTGCATCTGCGCAGTGAAAGAACACATGTATATTAGATAATTTGGCTCATTATTAGTGTATAAAATGTAGGCAAGTTGCAGGAATCGCTTCATAATTCCTCAGCATCTAACAGGTAAGATATATCAAGTTAAAATATCTAGAATAACCTAGTAAGTTAATTAACTTTCCTATGTGAAAAATATAGTAATTTCTATATAACGAAATAAATACTATAGGCTATAGAATATTTTTATTGTCATCTTAGGAGAAAAGGACAGCAGGAATGATTTACATCTTTTTAATTTCTTTGATGTGTGTTGTGTTCGAAGTTAATGCTTACAAAGCTACAATCAGAGTTCCTAAAGTTGACGGTAAGTTGAAATTAATTTTAGATGTTTGTTATAATTTAAAACATTAAATTTATTAAATATAAAATAAAAAATTTGTGTTTGAAATAAATTCTCTAATCGTGCAATCTTCATTTAAACAAATTAAATATATATTTCATCGGAAATAATGTTGCATGGTCATGTTATTTAACGAAACATTCCCGGATCAATTCTTAAAAAATCCAGCAAGAGTTGCCTAACTTTCCTTGCAATATTTAAAACTGTTGCCATCTGTTATTATATCCCCTCCCCGAATATACAAACCATCTTGCAAAATTTAAGAGATTTTCGACAAAAAAGCACAGCTTGAAAGAGGGTAAACATAATCGTGCAAAACATATAAATACAGAAAAGAAGCCGTCGAATTATTTTTCCATTTTTCGACGTTTAAACTTGTTCGGAGTCCAAAAAATATAAAAATTTTGAAAGGTCATTTTTGACCGACTACCATACTTTTCCTTTGTTAGGCCTACATATAACAGCGTGAAAAGTAATAAACTGAAAATACTAATCTCCGCTCGATGTTTTGTTTGAGACGTAATAACTACTTGCAAATTGTTTAAAATATATTTTTAGAGAGTATGGATAAGATTTTCATTATGGAAGCACCAAGTATAAAGTCGAATACATATATACTGTTATATCTGAAAGGGCGTCTAATCGTGTGGATGACAGTTATTTTCAATCACATGTTTAGAAAACACAGTACGTCTATACCATACTCTCCTTAAAAAATAAAAATCGTTTTAACTCAGATATTTTGAGTTTAAACAACTATTTTTTAAATGTAGTTTTAATCTCCTGTTATAGTTGAATGAAAACAGAAAACAGAGTCTAAAAGTCAAATAATTTTGAGAAAAATAAAAAATATACACATTGTATAGGCTATACAGTGACATTTTGATTAGACACGATCATATTTTAAATGGAGCAAGTTTCATAAAGTAAATTACAATGTTTCTTAATACTATTCATTCCGTGATTAGTTTTATTATATTTTACTAATTTTAAATACAGTCGACCCCCTATAACAAGATAGATACGTTCCTGTTCTTATGAATCCAGCTTTTAGGAATCTAGCCAATCACAGCCCGGCACATGTGCAGTTTACGTACTACGGCTGTTTGAAAGGTTTTCTTCTATAAAATTAATCGATTCTAGACTAATTAGACTCAATATTTCCAAAATACCTATAATTTTTTGGGAATAATCCAAATAAACTATGCTGTAAACAAAAAATTGTAGAATTACTTACCGAGCGTGCACCGTTCGACTACGCCGTTGCTTAAGCTTGTTTTCGTCATGGAGATTGTCATCGAATGGCGAACGCGTGCTTTCTGATAAATTATTTTTTTTTGCGAAAAATTCGCTGAACTTTAGAGACATCATTAATATAAATATAATTTTTATGGACGTTNAGCAACGACTTGCCTAACTTTCCTTGCAACATTTAAAACTGCGTGTGATGCCATCTGTTATGATACCCCCTCCCCCAATATACAAACCATCTTGCAAAAGTTCAGAGGTTTTGGACAAAAAAGCACAGCTTCAAAGAAGGTAAATATAATCGTGCAAAACACATAAATACAGAAAAAACCGTCGAATTCTTTTTGCATTTTTCGTCTGATCGTGTGGGTGACAGTTATTTTTATTCATATGTTTAGAAACCACAGTACGTGTATACCATACCATACTTAAAAAATAAAAATCATTTTTACACAGACATTTTGAGTTTAAACAAGTATTTTTTAAATGTAGTTTTAATCTCCTGTTATAGTTGAATGAAAACAGAAAACAGAGCCTAATAAAGTCAACTAATTTTGAAAAGAATAGAAAATATACACATTGTATATACAGTGACATTTTGATTAGACACGATCATATTTTAAATGGAGCAAGTTTCATAAAGTAAATTACTATGTTTCTTAATACTATTCATTCCGTGATCAGTTTTATTATGTTTTACTAATTTTACATACAGTCGACCCATCAATAACACGGTAGATACGTTCCTGTTTTTATGAATCCAGCTTCTAGGAGTCAAGCCAATCGCAGTTCGGCACGTGGGCAGTTTACGGACTACGGCTGTTTGAAAGGTCTTCTTCCATAAAATTAATCGATTCTAAACTAATTCGACTCAACATTTCCATAACACGTATAGTTTTTTTGGGAATAATCCAAATAAACTATGCTGTAAACAAAAAGCTGTAGGATTACTTACCGAGTGTGCACCGTTCGACTACGCCGTTGCTTAAGCTTGTTTTCCTCGTGGACATTGTCATCGAATGGCGATCGCGTGCTTTCTGATAAATTATTTTTTTTTGCGAAAAATTCGCTGAACTTTAGAGACATCATTAATATAAATATAATTTTTATGGACGTTAAGTAATAAATGATTTTTGGTAGGTACGCTGCTCGTTTAAACTCAACGGTTTGTGCAATCCTGTTGCGAACGAGTCAGCGATGACGTTTTATCGAATTATAGGAGTTTTTTTAGCATGTTTGTACGAATACTGTCGCAACTTTTTCGCCGTGATATAGGAATCCGAACTATAGGAACCCGTGTTATGGGGGAGTCGACTGTATTACATTTCAATTTTAGGAGTTTTCCAAAACAATGATACCATTTTAAATTCTTGTAATTATGTTACTTATTCTCTGAGAACGTTGTAATGTCCATTAAAACATTAGAAAACTGTCCACGTTTGACATTTTTTTTATTACAATTTCTCAATGTGTCACAAGGCACACATCCCAGCAATACTCAAATTCTTCCCCCAATCGCTATAACATATCCGTTGTCACTTCTCTCACAATAACCACAATTCTTCAGTTCATGAATATTATCCACGTTGTGCAATGATGAGTGATGTTAACTTTGTGAATTGCAGAATACAAAACGCCTTCTCTCCATTTTCTTTTACGTCGTTTCCTAGAAATAGTGTACAGTAGATGAGAGTTAAAACTCGCACAGTTACTCTATTGATTGATGTAAAATATATCGAATACTTCTCAGATAATAATTGACATAATTACAGTAATATAAATGATGGCATCCATTTTGAAACACTTTGTATATATAATGTATACACAAAGTGTAAAATGTAATGGCCCAAATTAAACTTGATATTTCCCAGCTGACTACAGCAAAACTGTTCATCAGAAAATCATGAAAGTTTGAGAATACCATAATGAAATGATGGGAATTTTTTCTAGAGTAAAATAAATGAGTTCTAATAACTACCACTACAGGGCGTTGTACGGCTTTGTACAGAATATAAGAATGAGCCACACAAGTTATCTGTCTAACCTGAACAAACCGTGTTAAAATCATGATGACCACCATTGTCTGCTAACATCTGAGGACCCCAGAGCCAAAAATCGCAAGGATTGAAGTCTGAAAATCTTGCAGGTCAATTTGCCACTATTTTAGTTTAAAAAGCGCTTTCTAGTGGTTGTTTTCTGTAGAAAAAATTTCCATCATTTTATTCTCATTCTTTTATTGCATTCCAAAACTTTCATGACTTTCTGATAAATAGTTTTGGCTGTAGCCAGTTGGGAAATGTCAAGTCTAATTTGGGACATTTTGTACTTTTTAATGAAATTATAAGATATGAAAACATAAAATGATACTTGTAAGCTAGATCCAATATTGAATTTTAATGTTGACAGGGCTTTTAAATAATCTTAAATTAATATTTAATATACATAATGTTGCAAATACATAATATACAATATCAATATACATAAATCTATTGATGATAGAAGAAATGGAATCGCCATGTGGCAAGAATGAACAATAGAGTGACATTTAAAGTAACTGTATTTAACACACAGTTACTTTCAATGTCACTCTATTGTTCATTTTTGCCACATGGCAATTCCATTTCTTGTATCATCAATAGATTTTTTACCACGTTCCCTAAGATCTCATAGTCATAAGATGTCTTGTGTTCAACTTTACTTAAGCACAATTATTCTTTCAATTGCTTATTGAATGGCTTTCAGAATTCGCTCTTTATGTTGGCCATAAAAAACAGTAATAAGAAAGTTGATTTTTATAAAAATTTAATTTATTTCTTTTAAAATTTAAATAGGAAAATGCGAGATTAATGGGAAATTGTTTAAACCTAGAGAAGAATATATGAATGAACAAAAGTGTGAAGTATGGACTTGCTTGAAAAAATCACCGAGAAGAAAGGGAAAAGTCGATAAGGAACATGCTCTCGTCGATGTATCAGGGTAAGTAAATCAGTTAAATATTACTTTTTATAAGCTTTTAAACAACGATGTATATTATGTTGGAACAGATGCGGGACAGCAACGATGTCGTACGGTAATGGTACTGAATGCAGCTATAAAATAACAACAGGAAATATCCGGATTGCTGTTTTGGAGAATTAGAATGTAAGCAAGAAGGGTATAACGATATATCCGATTTCAAATAAATATATCTAAAATACATGTTAACGACCAAACAGAAGATACTGTGGTACTTTCTTATATAAACTTAATTCTAATATCTTAAAGATTAAATTTATTCATCAAATATTCAATAAACGTTACTGAAACTGATGTGAGTTACTGTGTAGAATATAATTATTCTTAATAAAATTTAATTTTGTGTCCATAGTTTATGGATACAGAATGTTTTAAAATGTTAATAAAATCCATGTGATAACTGTCATGTGTCAATATGAACAAAAGTCCCATGTAAAAGAAATTCGAGAACGAATAATTCTCGGGTTTCTTGTACATGTGTACTTTTAACGGTTGTTTACATCAAACATCATTAAAAATAGTTTAATTATACATTTATTTGAAATAAAAAAATTGTAAAATACTCTAAATTGTTTGAGAAGTTAGTCTAAATATTTTTGAAAATGTTCAAAAATATTCTATGCTTACTTCGATTTGGTAGGTCTTGAGGTTCTAGGCTCTGCAGCCCCGGCATTTAAACAAAATGCCTTTTCTTGTATCAGCTAGTTGGACTTCAGCTTCTAGGCTATATCATCCCGTGGAGAAGTTTGATGAAATTGTCATGTAATAGTATTTGTATGCATTTTTTATGATTATAATGCTTTTCGAGTGGTCTTTTTTAACGCAGCTGGCCCATATTCAGGCGTTACAGACGTAGCGAAAACCCGGGAAACTAAACCTGGCCAGCTCTTCTTGTCGAGGCACGAGAACTCTCCTGTGTTCAGGGAACGGGACCTCTTGGCCATTGCTAGGTCTTCAAACGAAATGTTACATCGATGAAACACAACTCCTCCTGCAGAAAATAGTAGCAGAACACGAAGCAGCCGTCACATTAAAACAAATAACTTTTTCACATCAATATTATAAAAACAATAAAACTGACTGCAAGATTGATAAAAATAGTATACACGAAAAATAACATCATTGAACGAACAATTAAAGAATACTATTGTAAGAAGTTTTATAGAGAAAATCCCGTGAGGAGGNCGACTGATAATAGATTTTTGTAATGACTGTACGAAATGATAATTATTACTTGACATTTCTTCGTGATATATATTATTATTATAATGAATTTTCAGTAATGTGATCTTAATTTATAACATTCAGCTCATGGGTAATAAAAGAGCCCACTTTTGTGGCTGTTTAACAGGAACCAACTGAACCATAAAAATGTCATTTACTATTATGTAAGGAATTAATAGTTCTATACTTTATCACGATGAATTGAACGATATGAATTAAAAATTACGTGTATGAGAATCGAAGTTTGAATTGTAGATGCAAATTGAAACTCTATCCGAATATGGCGGAACATTCTGTTCGTATTGCATCTGCGCAGTGAAAGAACACATGTAGATTAGATAATTTGGCTCATTTTATTAGTCTATAAAATGTAGGCAAGTTGCAGGAATCGCTTCATAATTCCTCAGCATCTAACAAGTAAGATATATCAAGTTAAAATATCTAGAATAACCTAGTAAGTTAATTAACTTTCCTATGTGAAAAATATAGTAATTTCTATATAACGAAATAAATACTATAGGCTATAGAATATTTTTATTGTTATCTTAGGAGAAAAGGACAGCAGGAATGATTTACATCTTTTTAATTTCTTTAACGTGTGTTGTGTTCGAAGTTAATGCTTACAAAGCTACAATCAGAGTTCCTAAAGTTGACGGTAAGTTTCAATTAATTTTAAATGTTTGTTATAATTTAAAACATTAAATTTATTAAATATAAAATAAAAAATTTGTGTTTGAAATAAATTCTCTAATCGTGCAATCTTCATTTAAACAAATTAAATATATATTTCATCGGAAATAATGTTGCATGGTCATGTTATTTAACGAAACATTCCCGGATCAATTCTTAAAAAATCCAGCAAGAGTTGCCTAACTTTCCTTGCAATATTTAAAACTGTTGCCATCTGTTATTATATCCCCTCCCCGAATATACAAACCATCTTGCAAAATTTAAGAGATTTTCGACAAAAAAGCACAGCTTGAAAGAGGGTAAACATAATCGTGCAAAACATATAAATACAGAAAAGAAGCCGTCGAATTATTTTTCCATTTTTCGACGTTTAAACTTGTTCGGAGTCCAAAAAATATAAAAATTTTGAAAGGTCATTTTTGACCGACTACCATACTTTTCCTTTGTTAGGCCTACATATAACAGCGTGAAAAGTAATAAACTGAAAATACTAATCTCCGCTCGATGTTTTGTTTGAGACGTAATAACTACTTGCAAATTGTTTAAAATATATTTTTAGAGAGTATGGATAAGATTTTCATTATGGAAGCACCAAGTATAAAGTCGAATACATATATACTGTTATATCTGAAAGGGCGTCTAATCGTGTGGATGACAGTTATTTTCAATCACATGTTTAGAAAACACAGTACGTCTATACCATACTCTCCTTAAAAAATAAAAATCGTTTTAACTCAGATATTTTGAGTTTAAACAACTATTTTTTAAATGTAGTTTTAATCTCCTGTTATAGTTGAATGAAAACAGAAAACAGAGTCTAAAAGTCAAATAATTTTGAGAAAAATAAAAAATATACACATTGTATAGGCTATACAGTGACATTTTGATTAGACACGATCATATTTTAAATGGAGCAAGTTTCATAAAGTAAATTACAATGTTTCTTAATACTATTCATTCCGTGATTAGTTTTATTATATTTTACTAATTTTAAATACAGTCGACCCCCTATAACAAGATAGATACGTTCCTGTTCTTATGAATCCAGCTTTTAGGAATCTAGCCAATCACAGCCCGGCACATGTGCAGTTTACGTACTACGGCTGTTTGAAAGGTTTTCTTCTATAAAATTAATCGATTCTAGACTAATTAGACTCAATATTTCCAAAATACCTATAATTTTTTGGGAATAATCCAAATAAACTATGCTGTAAACAAAAAATTGTAGAATTACTTACCGAGCGTGCACCGTTCGACTACGCCGTTGCTTAAGCTTGTTTTCGTCATGGAGATTGTCATCGAATGGCGAACGCGTGCTTTCTGATAAATTATTTTTTTTTGCGAAAAATTCGCTGAACTTTAGAGACATCATTAATATAAATATAATTTTTATGGACGTTAAGTAATAAATGATTTTTGGTAGGTACGCTGCTCGTTTAAACTCAACGGTTTGTGCAATCCTGTTGCGAACGAGTCAGCGATGACGTTTTACCGAATTATAGGAGTTTTTTTAGCATGTTTGTACGAATACTGTCGCAACTTTTTCGCCGTGATATAGGAATCCGCACTATAGGAACCCGTGTTATAGGGGCGTCGACTGTATTACATTTCAATTTTAAAGTTTTCCAAAACAATGATACCATTTTAAATTATTGTAATTATGTCACTTATTCTCTGAGAACGTTGTAATGTCCATTAAAACATTAGAAAACTGTCCATGTTTGACATTTTTTTTATTACAATTTCTCAATGTGTCACAAGGCACACATCCCAGCAATACTCAAATTCTTCCACCAATCGCTATAATATATCCGTTGTCACTCCTCTCACAACAACCACAATTCTTCAGTTCATGAATATTATCCACGTTGTGCAATGATGAGTAATGTTAACTTTGTAAATTGCAGAATACAAAACGCCTTCTCTCCATTTTCTTTTACGTCGTTTCCTAGAAATAGTGTACAGTAGATGAGAGTTAAAACTCGTACAGTTACTCTATCGACTGATGTAAAACACATCACATACTTCTCAGATAATAATTAACATAATTACAATAACATAAATGATGGCATCCATTTTTAAACACTTTGTATATATAATGTATATATATACAAAGTGTATAATGTAATGGCCCAAATTAAACTTGACATTTCCCAGCTGACTACAGCAAAAACTGTTCATCAGAAAATCATGAAAGTTTGAGAATGCCATAATGAGGTGATGGGAATTTTTTCTAGAGTAAAATAAATTAGTTCTAATAACTACCACTACAGGGCGTTTTACGGCTTTGTACAGAATATAAGAATGGGTCACACAAGTTATCTGTCTAACGTGAACAAACCGTGTTAAAATCATGATGACCACCATTGTCTGCTAGCATCTGAGGACCCCAGAGCCAAAAATCGCAAGGATTGTAGTCTGAAAATCTAGCAGGCCAATTTGCCACTATTTTAGTTTAGAAAGCGCTTTCTAGTGGATGTTTTTTCTAGAAAAAATTTCCATCATTTTATTTTCATTCTTTAATTGCATTCCAAAACTTTAATGACTTTCTGATAAATAGTTTTGGCTGTAGCCAGTTGGGAAATGTCAAGTCTAATTTGGGACACTCTGTACTTTTAAATAACAAAACAGATGAATTTAATGAAATTATAAGATATGAAAACATAAAATAATACTTGTAAGCTAGATCCAATATTGATTTTTAATGTTGACAGGGCTTTTAAATAATCTTAAATTAATATTTAATATACATAATGTTTAACATACAGTTATGAAATGTCAAGTCTAATTTGGGACACCCTGTACTTTTAAATAATGAAACAGATGAATTTAATGAAATTATAAGATATTAAAACATAAAAAGATACTTGTAAGCTAGATCCAATATTGATTTTTAATGTTGACAGGGCTTTTAAATAATCTTAAAGTAATATTTAATATAGAGAATGTTTAACTTACAGTTACTTTCAATGCCACTCTATTGTTCATTCTTGCCACATGGCAAGTCTATTTCTTATTACTATCATCAATAGATTTTAACCACGTTTCTTATTCCTAGGATCTCATGGTCATAAAATCTTGCGTGTTCAACTTTATTTAAGCACATTATTCTTTCAATTGCTTATTGAATGGCTTTCAGAATTTGCTATTCATGTTGGCCATATGAAAAATTAATAATTAAGTTAGTTTATTTAAAAATTTAATTTAAT